TGAATGATAAAGGCAAGGCAGCTTCTATCTAGCACCCCCAAGAACCCGAAAAACAAGTCAGTGATTCTTGCACATAAACCTTTGACGATTGTCACAAGCAACGTGCATCTTAAAGCATCATCCATTGGTACCAGTTTTTCCCCAGCCTCTCGCCAGCAATTACTCAGTAAATCTCAACACTCGGTGGTTATTATTTTTTAGAATGATGATTCCAATTATGTGCGTGAACAAATGCAACTTGAGCCTCTAAGTGGTTCTGCCTATTCCCTACCTCCTAGTGACCCACCCGATAATATTATCCAATATGGAAGATCACACACGACAATTTTTAAAGTTCTAATTTGACCATGCTTCTAAGAATGGATATTGATCCAGTTCTCTCTCTTCGGATTCTTTCACTGCTATCTAAATCTTTATTTAGTCATCTCTTCTCTTATTATCTTTTTTATGATTTAAAAATTATTCTGTTAGAACATGCAAGGCTATGAGCACCCAAAGTTCTTGCTCTCTATTCGCCAATACTTAAGGGACATTAAATTGGATTTTGTTGGTTTATTTAAACCTCATATCAGTGTCTTTAAAATTGATTTTGTCATCTCGTCTCTAGGTTTTCCTCATTATCTTCAGGTGGAAGCTGCGGGTTTCTCTGGTGTAATCTGGCTTTATTGGTATAACACCTTCTCTATTTATATTCTGATTAATCATTTCCAGATTTTCACTTTTGGATTCATTTTCATTTTGATGATAGCTACTCTCTTGGTACTTTAATTTATGCTAGTCATGATGCTACTAAAAGGAAATCTCTCTAGCATTTTCTTCACCATATTGCCTCAACTATTACGTCTCATTGGCTGCTCTTTGGGGACTTTAATGTTACTCTTTACTCTGATGATATGAAGGGTGGAGTCACCTCTTCTAGGCCTAGTAATGCCGTTCACGATCTTGTTTTTGACTTTTACCACCGATACATGGGCTCTCTATTAGAAGGTTTATAAGTTGGAATCTAGAATCTTCATTTTAATGATGCAATCAAATAGGTCTATTTACAAGGTTTGTAAGCTAGAATCTTAGTTTTAATGATGCAATTAGAGAGTTTGGATTTTATCAGAAATGAAGATGAGCCTTGTGTTTATAAGAAGGCTAGTGGAAACATTGTTTCTTTTCTAATCTTGTATGTAAACAACATATTCATCATAGGAAATGATATACCTACTTTACAGTCTACTAAGACTTGGTTAGGTAGTTGTTTTTCTATCAAAGATTTGGGTGAGGCAACATATATCTTAGGAGTTAAGATCTATAGAGATAGACCTAGATGAATTCTAGGTCTGAGTCAAAGTACATATATAAAAAAAAGTAATGAAAAGGTTCAGTATAGAAGAATCCAAGAAAGGTTTTTCGCCTATGAGACATGTTATTTCTCTTTCGAAGGAAATGTGTCCTTCAACTTCACAAGAAAAGGAACAAATGAATAAGATTCCATATGCTTTGGCTATTGGTTCTATCATGTATGTCATGATATGTACTCAACCAGACGTATCATATACTTTAAGCATGATGAGTCGGTATCAGGTAAATCCTGGTGAAGGTCATTAGGGTACAGTTAAAAATATCATTAAGTACTTAAGAAGAACTAAGAATACATTTCTAGTCTATGGAGGCGAATAAGAGCTTAGTGTAAAAGGTTATACTGATGTCAGCTTCCAAACTGACAAGGATGACTCACGATCACAATCGAGTTTTGTGTTTTGTCTTAATGGAGGTGCTATGAGATGGAAAAGTTTAAAGAAAGACACAGTAGTTGATTTTACGATAGAGGCTGAATACATTGCAGCCAGTGAAGCGGCAAAAGAGGTTGTTTGGATCAAGAAGTTCATATATGAACTAGCGATTGTTCCTAACATATTTGATGCTATAGAACTCCGTTGTGACAACAATGGAGCCATTGCACAAGTTAAGGAACCCATATCTTATCAATGGTCCAAACATGTTCTTAGGTGCTTCCATCTCATTCGATAGATCATAGATCAAAGAGATTTGGAGTTATGCAGACGACACACGGATGACAACATTGTTGATCCCCTGAAGAAACCTCTGACACATCAGAAGCATGATTGTCACAATGAGTCACTTGGTATTAGATATGTGAGTGATTGGTTTTAGTGCTAGTGGGAGATTTTTTAGAGTATGCCCAAAGACCAATCATATGATGATTGTATTGGCATATTTTCTTTACTGTATTTATTGAATAAAGGCATTATCGTTATTTTCTTTTGTTATATTTTTGTGCATTAAATAAACTAAAAGATAATAATGTCCGTGTAATAATATGATTATTATTAAAATATCCTTAGTCAAGTATTATTATGGGCATGGACAATAATAATACGCTTAAGACTAACATGTTATTGATTGATGACATGAATATGTTGTTAGAGAATAATGTATTGGATTGACCCGCTATGAGCATATTGACATAGAGATGTCAGAATTGACCCGCTATAAGCATATGTCTTGGATTATTATGTGATGGACACGATATTGCTTATGGTGACAACTATATGTATGATCCTTATACTTGAGACCATTACTATCTTAACATATATTGATGTATGTTTTGATACATTAAAACGTACTCTTTAACTAGTTGCACTAGAAAGACTGACATTTAACATATCACGATATATGTAGTGGGGTGTGAATGATAGATATAGGATTTGTCCTTCCTACATAATAAGAAATATATCACAGGCCACTTGATTGAGTGAGACTAGAAATGGAAGGTCATGCTCGAATAAGTTGATATGAGATATCACAAATTATTTGTATATTATAGTCTACTCTATATATCAAGAAATAATAGATGGACTATATGAGTGTCACTATTCCAAGACTTGTGTCTATTCTAGATATAAAGGACAAAATGATATAATACATTAAAAGAGTTAGTCACAAACATGTTATTTCGAATCATGACTTCCTGTAACTTAGGTAACAATGATTTATTGCTAGATGTCAATCATTGTTTGTAATATTAGAATGGTTCTAATTATTATTACTTAAGTTACAAGAACCTACATGGTCACACCCAATGGTTGAAAAGAGAAATTTATAAATGTGTTACATATGTACAATTTATTGTACATGAATAAAATTTGTAAATAGTGTTTGTGTGTAATTTTAAGTACACATTAGATACTGAATTTAATTAAAGGAATATAATTATGGTAATTATATTCATTATTAAATTCGGATTAAAACCCTAATAGTTAGGGTGTAACAATAAAAGGGATATGTTGGTATAGCAACCTTTGACCCTTCTAAAAATTCTGAAATTCCTTAAAACTGTTTTGAGAAAGAAATTGCTCTCAACTATTTTTTAACTGGGTGAACTGAGTGAGGCAAGGCAATTTTTTTTCTTGGAGGCTAGGATTCTAATCGTTCATTAGATCATGAGCCATTGTTGCATTGTTGCTATTCAAGGAACCCAAGGTGAGAAATCCTATTTCTTCCTCCTGATTTTAGTTTTATCGTACATGGATCGTTGGTGAGACTGTCAAGTTTGTTTCCACTGCGCCATGGGGTGCACCGATGGTTCCAATACTCTCATGGTACGAACTTCACGTAGAATAGAGGTACGACTTTCGCTCACCTTGATCATTTCATCTGCAACTTCCATTGGGATGAGGCTTTCCCTGAGTCTAGCGTTCAACATCTCTTAAGAATGCGTTCTGATCATCGCCCCCTACTTCTTAATGTCTGCTCTCATAATCGACGAAACTCTCCTACACCATTTTGCTATGTCTTCGGATGGCATTTGTGTGTTGATTTTAAACGTATGATTATTGATAATTGGGTTCCTTCAAACAATCTCTCAACTATAATCAATCATTTCTCTATTCCTATTGTTGATTTGAATAAGTCCTTTGTTGGCTCCATAGGCACCAAGAAACGGATTACTATGGCTCGCCTAAGGGGCGCGCAAAAGGCCCTAAGCACTCGATAGACTCATTTCCTCCTCAATCTCGAAGATAGCTTGCTCACTCATCTTGAAATCATTCTTGACCAATAACAAAATTTGTGGGGAAAAAATCGTGCTCTGATTAGATTTGTTTGGGTGACCGCAGCACTGCCTATTTCCACCGAAAAATAACTCTTTGAAAACATCAAAACTGCATCACAGATTTAAAGCTAAGTGATGGCGATTAGTGCCAGGATGACGATATTCTAAAGGAGGTATTCGTTATTTCAAAAACTTATTTTCCCTCGAGTCTCCGGTTTAAGGGACTTATCCGACCAAGGGTCGTTTTCTACCTATCCCGGAATCCTTGCTTTCTAATTTGGATTCGTTGCCTTCAAATGAAGAAATGCACTCATCCCTGAAGGACGTGGCTCCTTTAAAGGCTCCCGGCGTCGACGGCTTGCATGCCGAATTTTTCCAAAAAATTGGGAGATTGTTAGCCTTCTCTTTGTAACTCCATTTGAGATGTTTTTGAAGGAGGCGATATTAAGTCGGTCTTAAACCAAACGGTTATTGTTCTCATTCCAAAGGTCACTGCCACTACTTCTTTTTCAAAGTTTCGACCAATTAGTTTGTGCTCTGTTATCTACAAGTTTCTCACTAAAGTGATCGTTAAAAGACTCCAAGGTCTGATGCCCTTGATTATCGCTCCAAACTAAACCAGCTTCATCTCGGGCAGGAATATTATAGATAATATTGTTATTAAGTAGGAGGTCATTCATACAATGTGATCCATCAAATCTAAATCGAGATGGGTTAATCGAATATTTGAATAAAATATATCTAATTGAATTAATATATCATACGTATAAATAAATAATAAATAATTTTAAAAATCATTTTATTTGAATAACCCTTGAAATTGCACCCAAAAAATTTTAAGGTCTTCTATGAGTTAATCGAATAATTAACAAATCTAATAAATTTTAGTATTATATAAGTACGTACATATTTTAGGTCTTTAATGGGGAAAATTCTCTCTGAAATCTTCTCTGAAATTTCCCTTCTCTGGGATCTCTTTCTTCCGCCGGCTCTTGCCTCCACGATTTGGAAGGAGATTTCTATGGCCGTCATTTCCTTCCTCGTGGAAATCAGATACAAGAATTATGTGCAATGGATTCATAAAATTGAAATCGTGCTTCGGTATTTACAATTGGATGTTTGGCGATCACAATTGCTTTACAATTCTTTGATGCAGCCTCTGGGTTTTTATTTATTCACGCAATACATATGGTTTCTTCTCCTTTACAATATCATTTAATCATCTTGGGTTACTTGCCTTTATTTATTTATTTTTACCGATTTGGTTATCGCTGATTTCTTTCAAGAACTCCTCTAGGAATATATCTCCTTATTTGACTCAACAAAGAAGACCGACATTAATGCATATGTGGAGGTGCGGGGTGCAAAATGGCTCTTCAAGCATTGTACGCTTCGATTTGAAGAACAGAAGTATCTACCCATCGAGCCTCCGATCAGAGTCGGAGAACTATGCCATTAATCTGAATCAGGAAACATGGTTATCGCTGCAAAACTGGGAGGTGAATGCATCCTTGTCCATATATGAATATCGATTATTATTGTTCTACAATCTTTGGTTCTTCTTTTTGGCTTGATGAAATTTCTTTTGATTGAAACAGGGCACTATCTACATCTAGGTGGTTCAAATCGAGCCGATAGAGGCTAACAGGAGTCGAACTTAACCGATCAGGAAACTATGTTGGGGCTTTCAGGGTTTGTGTTACCTTTGACCAGAGGCGAGCATACAACAATAACTGGTTGGTAAACTCATATGGTGTTTCATTGATGGTTGGGTATGGGTTTCAAGACTATGATATTCACTTCTTGAAGATCTCTTATTGCCGATCAATTTGGGTGATCCCTTTTGTTAACGCAAATCGAAAAACACGTTTTGTTGTTCAATATTGGTTGCTGCGCTTCCATTTCTTCATCTCTTGGTTTTTCGATTATCTAATCAATCTAATGCCTTGTCTTATGCTACATGCAGAACAGGAGCTATGTTTCTTGTGGTTGATCGATGTTAGCTTGACAAGGACAACATTAAAATCTTTGAGGGTCGAACTAAGGTGGAGGTGGTTCCTACAATTCTCGGTGATTGCATGCATATATCACGGTATGACATTCCCTATATATTTCACGATTATGGAATATTGTATACCGACCTTGTATGTAAGTCTAAGTATGACCAAGATGATATTTGGAAACTGGATTTACCATATTTTAGCTGTAAGGTCTATTCTATGAACTAGTTTAACTTTGGTAGGAATGTTTGTGTGTCCTGCTTGTGTGGCTTAATCTTCTCACAATCTTTCGAGAATCCGGATAATCCGCATGTTTTTTAGGGTTAGAGTTTGCTCATTATTAAATGATTTGGTTTTTCTATACAACTGATTAATATTGGAGTTTATTATTTTTTTTTTTTACAGTATGGAACATCTATGGGCAATGTTCTTCTGTGGGATTGCTTCAAACATGCAAGATTTTTTTTGATGTATGGAGGAAAGCACATACTCTTGTCTTTTTCATTTGGCTGGATATATGTTATAATCTACCAAAGAAAGACATGATTAGGCTGGAAGGAGTCTCAAGATTTTAGTCATTATGCTTTCTGGATTATATGGCATTACCTGCTATGGATGGATAAAGCGCAGTGTTAATCTAAGTATGCTTTGATATATTGTCTGTTTACAATGGAAGTTATTCTGCCAGGTATGTCCACTTGGCATTGGAGGGTTTGAAATTACTATCCGCTTACTGTAGCTTATAGAATTAGAATTTTAACTTGGTTTATGCTGGTTTATCTTCAACATGATAATTTTTGCATGGATTCCTACCTTAACATACATATGTCTGGTATGGAATTATATAGCCATCGACATTATCCTAAGGATAGATCGGTGCAGGGTATGAATGCTTGGTGCTGTAATATTCGAAGGATTAAATGTGGTATTAGTATGTGTTATGGGATGTTGGATTCTTTTTTCTTTAATTGCCATAGAAATGTCAAGGAATCGAAGACTAGTGTTGTTTTTTCTAAAAAAATGTTGCAATGACATGATGGAATAGTTTTCTCATGAGCATACTTTGAATACAAGACTATCGGACTATTATTACATTGCCACTGATGGAGCAATATATAGTCACTATGCTTCAATTTGGTTTTATGATATTTAATTGGATTGTATTAAATTTAGTCTAGCTTTTAGCAATGTTCAATTGGATTGTATTAAAATTAGTCTAGCTATTTACTGTTTATATTGTAATAATTCGGAGTACTATCTAAGCCATTATAGCATGGATGCGGACTTCATTGGCCATCGAGCTCACACGATCACCGGATGGGAGATGCTAGAGCGGAGTAGTTTGGACATAGCTAGGAATGATTTCATTCTATTTGCTGATGCATCTATATTGAATCATGCACATGCCACATCAGAGGTCTTGATGCAAGGTAATTATACTTTCCATGGGCTTCTTTTGAGTTATAAATTGGTAAATGCTGGTAAATGTTATCTTGATATCATACTTCTATGTTATAACAAACTGGATTCCTATCTATGCTTTTATAGCATAGGCGAGGAATTCTCTGGTTATCGGCACCATTATCATGGTTGATCGATGCAGGGTATTGGTAAAGGGTTGACTTGTGATAGTTGTAGACACCCATTTTCGTTCGTATTTTTAAAGAATTTATATGAGTATATTATATTATTATATTATTTACTAATATTTTTTTAGAAACAATTTTTTTTCCTCGTGACAAGCCCAACGCCCCAAGGCCCAGTATTACACGCGCAAACTAGACCGGGATCCGTTTGTACCCTACTTGAAACCTTAATGCAGATTAGGGTTTCTAACATTTCAGTCGCCAGCTGCTTCAAGTGTCGCATCCCTCGCATGAAGAGTCCTCAATCCTCACGTCGATTCCACCATCCACAATATTCCCGGTAGCGTGGTTTCATGGAACAATGACAAACAACCAAAATAAGCATTTTAGCTTCAATGGAAAACTCTAAAAATAACTAATCACTAGGCTATTTAAACGATGTAAAATCACATACATATGGGGGATCGAAACACGAAAAAACAAGGAAAATAGAGAAAAGTAAAGAGCATTCGGGGTTGAAAAATATCAAGGAGAGACCCAAATAATAAACAAGAAAAAACCTTACCTTTCGTTTAAAGCCGGAACTCCAGGGGTCGTCGGAATCGAAGGAACCAAGGGGTTCCTTTGTAGATCTATGTTGTTTGAGCCTGTTTCAGGTCAAATGAAGCTCAGATATGGACTCAGGGCTAAAAAACACTTCGGGTAATATCATTTGTTTCCTCATTCGGCGTCGGCGAACGGCGATCGCCGCCGGCAGTGGCAGTCGATTAGGCGGGTGCCGGCCGATTTTGAGAGTTCTCTGGAACTCTCTCAATTTCTCTCTGACTCACACAGAAGAGAATAGGGGTGTTCGCGGTCGGTTTGGATCAGCTTATGGCTAAAAATTCATTCGATTCGAAAGTATAAATGTTTGCGGTTTGGATCGGTTTAGATGTGTCTAAAAAAATCCGATCCGATCCAATTAAGTGTGGCTTGATTCGGTTTGGATTTGTGCGGTTTTTGAATTCTAATTTTTCAAAATAATTCTTGAATTGTTATCATAAAAAAACATCATATGTATAAAAAACAACAAAGAAAATATATATTTTAACAAATGCGAATTTGTGAAGCTTACAAAGAAAAGGGTTTCTTTTACTTGGCCATGGAGGAGGGAGGCAATGGTGAGATACCAAGCAGTGTAGGTGGTCATTATAAGGCCTAGAAAAGACAAGATTCTGTAATTGTGAAATGAAGGGATGAAGACCGTGGTTGCACAACAAGCACAAAAGATGCAATTACATGTCCTCTAGTACAGATTGTCATTTGTGTAATATATGTTGCTGTAATAGCAAAAACAAAAGATACCCAGCATCAGGGAATTCATTGGAAGAGACTATCGGTTCGGTTTGGATCGGTTCCGGATTTCGAAACTGAAACCGAACCGACGATTTTTAAAAAAAAACCGAACACACTAAATCGATATTGTTTTTTTCGATTATCGACTTTTTGGATTGGTTTTCGTTTTTTATCGGATTGGATCTGAACACCCCTAGAAGAGAAGCAAAAATGAGAGTTGGGGTGTGTTCTTGGCGTGTTTTCCAATCGTATATAGGGCCAATCGTATTCAGGGTCCTTCTATGTTTGTATCATTTTATTTTAGTCATGAAGGAAACTTTTAATATATTCTGTTTTGATCTCTTATGTTTTTTTAGTTGTATTTTCGTCCCTATTTAATATTTATCTTTAATTTATAGTTTTATTTAAGCATAGGTCATTGTTCTTTATTGTATTTATAATTTAATTGTATACTTTTATGTTAGATCGTTTTAATCCTTATCTGGTTAATTATTATATTTTTATTAATATTTGACTTTGACCACCTTGTTTATAATATTTCCAATTTAATCCTTTGTATATACATTTTCTTTTTTTCTTTTTTTCGTAATTAATTTCTTTGTTTCTTTTATTTATTTTATTTAATCTAATATATTTATATATATATATATTATCTTTTTTTATATTTTTATTATATATATGTATTTATTTCTTTTGTTTATTTAATTTAACATTAATATTTATTTATATATGTTTAAATTTATATATATATATATATATATATATATATATATATTAGTTTATATATTTTGACTATTATTTTTAAATATTTTTAATTTATATATATATATATATATATATATATATTAATAATTATATTTTTTCATGGGCCTTATGCTCCACCTTTTCTTTTCTTTTTTTAATTTTTTCACTTTTTCTTTATTCAACTTTTCAACTTTTTTTTTAACTTTTTGAATTTTTTTTTTGTTATGAATATAAAATTGTTATTCTTTCATAAACGTTTTTCTTTATTTTTTCTCTTTTTTCTCCTTTGATATCTAACATTTATTTCTTTTTTATTATTTTATTATTTTATTTATTTCTTTAAAAATTTATTTATTTTTCATTGTTTCTTTTTTTTTCTCTCTTTAAACTTGATTTTATTTTAATTAAAAAAATTCACATTTATTTATTTATTTTTATTTTTGCAATCTAACATTCTTTTTGACCCTTTTTAGAAGAATTTCAACCAATCAAAGATAATTAATTTGAATTGAGTTTTTTAAATTTTAATTTCAAATTCAATTTTTTGTAATTAAAGACAACCGACAAATTAATTAGTACCAAAAGGGCGGTTCAAGGGTGCTAATCCTTCATTGACTGTAACCGACTCCCAAACCCGATACATTTCTGGTGAAACGCAGATCAGGTAAGATGGTGTCTGATCTACCAAAATATCATTTTAAAGTAATCGGTGGCGACTCTAACCCAATTATTCAAGTCGAAGCCCAATTCCAGGCCCAATCAAAAGACGGTCGCGACAGCTTGGCGACTTTGTTGGGGATAAGTAAGTGAGTCAGGCAAGAATTAATTTTCGGTTGTCTTTTTATGTGAAAATAGTAAATTTTAATTTTAATTTATTTATTCGATTCCAATTATTTACCTTTGACTATTTTTCAAATAAATAGTTTACTGACATTTTTTCCAATGATTTCAGATTTTTAAAAAGTTTATATCTTTGGCTCTATACCTCCGAATTCTTATTAAGTAGGCGTGAAAGTGACGCTATCGTGAGAATTTATTCTCCATATGAGCCTAGCAAGTAACCTTCGGGATTCATATACCTTATGTTTCTGTGTGAATTTATTCTCCGTATGCGCATAAGGGAATGTTTTCTCTCGAGTTTAACTTAGTCCACATAAGCTTGTAATGTGCTTAGGACTAAGGGTCTGACAAGCCCAAGGGGCACAAGCAAGGAGAACTCGGATACATTTTTTAGAACCTAAACCGGGAGACTACATGGAATTAAAGTCTACCCTAAAAACCTCATTTCAAACCCTAGGCTATTTTGAGTTCATTTTCTGCCTTATTTTATGTTCAAAGCATGTGAACTAGAAATTTATGCGGTTAGGAATTGTTCAAAATCAACTTGCGGGATAGAGATCATGTCCGGGTAAGAATACTAAGCATCTGAGGTATATATCATGTGGGGTAGGACCTTTTTCATGATTATTTTGATTATTATATTTACCTTACTAACTCTTTTCATTTTTGTTCTCTTTTATTTAATTTTTATCATTTGCATCATTCAAAAGAGGTGTTGAATCATCAAAAATGTGTTCGTTAAATGTAAATAATTTGCATTAATGGACAAATGAGTTATAATACAAGAGATGAAAAGCTCAGAAGTCCAACTATGGTCAGAGAATACTCAAAATGGACCGGGATTTACATTGTGCACACAAAAAGTTAACTTTTTGAGTTGACAACGGTTGTAGGGGCAAGACGAGAAAAATGTTATTAACCTAGAGAGTCCCTTCAAAGAGAACAAGAAACAGATAGCAAGGCGATAGCTGAAACTGAAGGTCATTGTTGACGCATTCAAGAAACAAGCAGATGAACTTCGGATAGTTCCTATCAATGGAGGGATCCAATGATGTTTCCATTAGGGAATAAACTCAGTAGATAGTGAAAACCAGAGATGCAGTCATTCGAGATTTCTTGGGACAAGTACAAAAAGCAGTTCAGAGAGGCCGGAACGGTTCGACAGGGTATTCAACCGGTGACAGAAAAAGACGAAAGACAAATCAACCTGTCAGAAGCTGTCGGAGTCTAAAAGAATATACTTTTAAAATGTATTTTGTCTCTTAAGAAATAACATTTTTGTCCCCAATAAGGATTATTTATAATAACAGACACATTTGTGTATCAATGCCTCGAACATTGCATTTATTATGCATTCCTGCATATTTCACATTATTTTCTCTCTTTTTTTACTATATTCACATGTCTCATAAAAAATGGGAACATTTCAATCATATTTCCATGATTTACAAGGAACTTTACCAACAACTTTTTGACA